CGTATCCTCAAAAGCCTAATGAGTTAGGAGTTCCTTTGCTGTTTTACGAAAGTACTGGTGAAATGATCTCCCCCTCTCATGGGACTATCATTGCGAGAATTTTTCATATCTATATAAATGAGCACACCTTGTAAGGTTTTGAACAGTACACTGTCTCTCAATTTCCAACTATCTGCACTCCATCACAATTTCTGCTTTTTTTCATAGAACTTCTCTTTACTTGATAATCTATAATTTGCAGGTCTGTTTGTGCATCATATCCCCATCGTCAACATCAAGGATTCTTGGAAAAGTGAGCATTTGAGTCTTTCTTTATGCTCCCATTTTCTATGCATTCTTATTGAGGCCTGTACTGACGGATGTAATTTTGCTTGAACTGATAGAATCTTCAACAACTCCACCAGCAGATTATTTTCAACTTTTAGGTGCAGGATTTGTGCACCAAGTTGATGCGAATGGAACAGTTTGTGAAACTTAGTTTTATAATAAGTTTAATCGTTGAACATGAATTTTCGCAGAGGTATCTTGCTCGAGGGATTATCTTTTGCGACATAGAGTTGATGTCGCCTTGTATTTTGGAAGCCGCTGTGAAAGTGAGGACTGTTGCACTTGGCTGCGTTAAAGAATCATATAGAGTAGTCAGGTAACCTCAGTTTAAATTTTGTTCAAAAGTAAACTCAGTCTGATTTAGATGCGCTGAAACCATCAAGAAATGGCTGGAGGTAATGGGCATGGATAAGAAAGGCTTTTTACTCTCGGCCTCGTTCCCTGAAGTTATTGATAAAACTTACTTGAAGCTGTAAATAGCATGCTATACTTTTCTTGAGATGATTTGCTTGAATATTGAGATGATTGCTATATTATTTTGTTAAGTTGCTGGTATCATGCAGCGGGTACTTATTGTTTGAACGCACGCTCTTATTTTCTTTCATTCCATTTACTGCTACACTGTAAGAAAACACATTGTTGCGTCTCCTTTTGTTGAGCCTTCTTGTTTTTTTTT